AGAAGCATGAACAAATGAATGTATGATACTTTTTTATTTGCATGTTTTTCCTCAAAGTACATTACATCTTCAGCACAAAATTAACTAAACATTTTCTCAGTTTGCCAAGAAATAACTCTACATATGTTAATCAAGTCCAATGCAGTTATTTGCAGGTGAAGAATAAACTGCTTTAAGACCACTTTCATATTTAATTCCATTATAATAATCAAACTGAAATTGTACTCCAGACTATAGAACTAAACATAATCTTTCTTTGCAAGAATAAGCTATCTTGGACAAAGGAAGCAATGTTACATACATACTCGCTTCCATATTGTTTTGCATCCTGCAATACTAGTCAGATCTCAAGCTATTAAGCATTTCTACCAGTTGCAAGTTTGCTCAGTACTGTACTTTATGGCACCATTTCTAAGTTTTCCTTACACATTTAGTCAAAGCATATAAAAAGGCAATAGAAATAAAAGGTCACAATGTAAAAAAAGCCTGCTCTGTAGCTAAATGTGGATGTTTCTCAAGTCTAGGTATAAATACTGAAGTTCTTAGCAGATGTGAAGCAAGCCATCTGTTCTAATTAAGCTTACAGTGTTGTTAATTCCACAGTTTAAAGCTGGCACGTTTTCAAATCATGAACACCTGCTAAGATTGGCTACAATAACTGCAATGCATCCCTTTCATAACAGATGTACAGCTTTACTACAGTATTTCACTCTGTTGGTACTAGGCAGTGCCAGTACTTGTATATCTGTCACCTGAACAGAAGAGAACTTGAGAAGGGTCTAAAGCAAGCAGGATGCCAAAGAGGCAGGCATGCCTTAAGGATCTAAGGAAGTGTGTTTTGTCTCCTCTCACTTATTTTCAGTTCCTTCCATTTCTATTCAGTGTAGCATGAATAAATGTAGTCTACATTTTGCCACTTGCTAAAATGCATAATACACTTAAGCTAAAGATGACAGGGACATGTGGTATGATGGCCGTTTCTTTTCTGCATTTCTGTAGTTCAAGATAAATGAAAGGCTCCTTTCTACAGTGTTACTTCAATATAGAGATTGGTGTGTAGAAAATATATTTCTATCATCACTGGACAGAGGGGAGATCTATTTGATGCAGGTGCAGAGCCACAAGATCTAGCAGTGAGTACAAATTTGAATAGTATTATAAGTCTGATGAAATGCATACAGAACAGTCTTAACCGTATTTGATAGTCTGCAAGAATTAAATCTACAGTGGTGCCTTGCTTAACGATGTTAATTGGTTCCCAAAAAAACATCGCTATGGGAAAACATCGCTAAGCAAAACACCATTTCCCATAGGAATGCATTGAAAACCGGATAATCCGTTCCAATGGGAACGGATTACCGTCCTTAAGCGAAAATCGCCATAGGAAACATCGCTAAGTGAAACAATGTTTCCCCCGTTGGAATGCCTATTCAATGCATTTCAATGGTTTTGACCGGTCCGTTTTCACTATTTTAAAAGTGTCTTAAAATGGTCATTAGTTCACCGTGGAAAGCCTTTGCAAACTGAATTTGTCTTTGTTCGTACTCTTCGTTAATTTTTGGTGAATGCCCCCCCCCATTGGAATGCATTGAATAGGTTTGACAGCTGTAGGTTTGACAGCTGTCAAACCTACAGTTCAATGCATTCCAATGGGGTAAAAAAATTCACCAAAAATTAACGAAGAGTCAGAACAAAGCCAGATTAATTCTGCAAAGGTTTTACAGGGTGCACTAACGATTCTAAGCATTTAAGACAGGTTTCAAACATTTTAAGACACTTTTAAAATATCGAAAACAGACCTGTCAAAACCATTGAAATGCATTGAAACCTATTCAATGCATTTCAATGGGGGGAAAATTCACCAAAATTAACGAAGAGTCAGAACAAAGCCAAATTAAGTTTGCAAAGGTTTTACAAGGTGCACTAACGATTCCAAGCATTTAAAACAGTTTTTGAACATTTTAAGACACACTTAATATAGCGAAAACGGACATTGTTAAGCGAAACAGGGGACCCAAAATGCAATCGCTATGCGAAGCATGGTCCCGGAATCGCTAAGCGAAAATCTCCCATGGAGAACATCGTTAAACGATGCGGAAAATTCCTCAAAAAAACCCATCGCTAAGCGAATACATCGTTAAACAAAGCAATTGCTAAGCAAGGCACCACTGTATATTGGTAGAATAGTTTATTCCATTACAACATGTCGGGACTAAGCAGCAGAAACCAGGTGGCACTGCCACATTTCCAGGGACAGTGGGTTGGCCAGTAGTGAAGAGTGAGTGCTAGCTTAGATGGCTCTTTGCCTTGAGACAGCATGCTTAACTTTATTAAATAAATGTTCTTGCTATAGCCAGCAGAGATTCTGCTTTGATAGAAAATCAGATTGAGAGAGCACTTTAGTTCTAGTTAATTTATGATGTACTGGCTCTCTAGCAAACCATTAAAGCAGGTCCTGTACAGAGACAGTACTTAGCGTATATGCACAGGCAAAGTTCTTGCTCAGATCAGGCCAGTACAGCTGCTGTAAGAAATAAGTAGTCTTCAGTAGGCAACATTAAAACAATAAACACCAGTTAATATCCTGTTGCTGTGTACCTTGTGCAAAGCTACATTTGCAGCAGTGGCAACTTGGTAAGGTGCCAGGCATAGCACGACCAAACACCATGCCAAATAAGACACTGCCAAAATTGTTGGTCCATGTGAAGTAAAGAATTCTGGTTGATGGCATTGTAAATTACCCATCCCCTCTCCCTTCCATGAGAGGTGTTGTTCCAATTGTTCTCATTTATATCACACATGATTCCTTGTTTCTTCTGCTTCCTTTTGATATTTTTTTTTAAAGGAAAAAAGTATAAAGGCTTAGAGTAGGTCAAGGACCACCTCTCTGGTAACTGATAGTGGAAAATCTCTGCCAAAACCAATATTTACTACTAGCCTATTGCTAGTGTCAAGTCGTGTTCGACTCTTCGTGACTCCATGGACCAGAGCACGCCAGGGCCTCCTGTCTTCCACTAACTCCCATAGTTTGGTCAAATTCATGCTGGTAGCTTTGACGACACTGTCCAACCATCATGTCCTCTGTCATCCCCTTCTCCTCTTGCCCTCACACTTTTCCAGCATCAGGGTCTTTTCCAGGGAGTCTTCTCTTCTCACGAGATAGCCAAAGTATTGGAGTCTGACCTTCAGGATCTGTCCTTCCAGTGAGCACTCAGGGTTGATTTCCTTCAGAATGGATAGGTTTGTTCTCTTTGCAGTCCAGGGGACTCTCAAGAGTCTACTCCAGCACCACAATTCAAAAGCATCAATTCTTCGGCAGTCAGCCTTCTTTATGGTCCAGCTCTCATTTCCATACATCGCTACTGGGAAAACCATAGCTTTGACTATGCGGACCTTTGTCAGCAAGGTGATGTCTCTTCTTTTTAAGATGCTGTCTAGGTTTATCATCACTTTCCTCCCAAGAAGTTGGCTTTTTTTAATTTTGTGGCTGTCACCATCTGCAGTGATCATGGAGCCCAGGAAAGTAAAACCTTTCACTGCCTCCATATCTTCTCCTTCTATTTGCCAGGTGATGGGACCAGTGGCCATGATCTTAGGTTTTTTTGATGATGAGTTTCAGACCAATTTTGGCACTCTCCTCTTTCACCCTCTTTAAGAGATTCTTTAATTAATCCTCATTTTCTGCCATCAGCGTGGTATCATCTGCATATCTGAGGTTGTTATTTCTTCCAGAAATCTCAATTTCAGCTTGGGATTCATCCAGTCTAGCCTTTCACATGATGTATTTTGCAGAGAAGTTAAATAAGCAGGGAGACAATATACAGCCTTGTTGTACTTCTTCTATAAGTTTTAAACCAATCAGTTGTTCCATGTCCAGTTCTAACTGTTGCTTCCTGTCCCACATATAGATTTTTCAGGAAATAGATATGGTGGTCAGGCACTCCCATTTCTTTAAGAACTTGCCATAGTTTACTGTGGTCCACATAGTCAAAGGCTTTTGCAAAGTCAATGAAGCAGAAGTAGATGTTTTTCTGGAACTCTCTGGCTTTCTCCATAATCCAGTGCATGTTAGCAATTAGGTCTCTCGTTCCTCTGCCCCTCTGAAATCCAGCTTCTGGGAATTCTTGGTCCACATACTGCTGAAGTCTACCTTGTAGGATTTTGAGCATAACCTTGCTAGTGTGTGAAATGAGTGCATTGTATGGTAGTTGGAGCATTCTTTGGCACTGCCCTTCTTTGAGCCTGGGATGTAGACTCAATCCTCTGGCCACTGCTGAGTTTTCCAAACTTGCTGGCGTATTGAGTGTAACACCTCAACAGCGTCATCTTTTAAGATTTTAAATAGTTCAACTGGAATGCCATCACCTCCACTGGCCTTGTTTTTAGCCATGCTTTCTAAGGCCCACTTGACTTCACTCTCCAGGATGTCTGGCTCAAGGTCAGCAACCACACTATCTGGGTTATCCAGACCTATTTAAATTGATTCAGTGGGGTCCTCTTTTGTTGAGACTATCAAGCTGATACTAGCCATTATGGCTCACACTACCATTTGTTACTAAATACCTGTTTGGCCCTCCCACAGAGCAGACAGGTGGGGTAGAATAAGCAATGTGTCAAGTGAACCTAGATGGAGCACATAGGCAAGATTATCCCTTCCCCTTCTATCACCAGCTGTTTGGGATATCTAACACCAGCAAAGTTTCCACGAATTGTCAATGTTTAAAGGACAACTACTACAGATACGCATACTGAACCAAATAGTGCAAATTACAGGCAACATGTACAAGGAAATCTCAGTGTTCAGTATCATACTATCAGTCCACTGTTTCTAGTAGCATTGGGAGTATAGGAAACAGCTGCATATTAATGTATGGTTTACTGATTATCATTATTCTGTGTACTGTATATACGTAAATTCACTGGCATGAACATCAAATTCTACAACACAACAAAAACCAGTAAGATATGATATGGATATTACATGCACAAAGAAACAAAGCTTAATAGTGAAAGCCTATGGCATATTTTATTTGAAATTTATGTTAATGGCAAGATAAGACATTAAAGTCCTTTTTCAGATTAAGAGATGAGTAAACTGATCTGTACAAGCTTAAGATGCCACCGATGGTTTTAAATAAAAATGCTTACTCTCAGTATAGAGACCTGCAAAGAAAGGCAAGCAATCTTACAACACATTCCTTTGATAAAATTAAAAAATGTTTACAAGGCAACATTATTCAATTACTATATCACAGTCCCCAGGAAAATCAAGCCATGTAAGGGAAGTGATGAGGAAATGTATCTTCCAGTTAACTGTTTTAGGTGCTCTTCTTTTCGTCACCCAGGAGGTTTATTGTTGCTTTTTTAGCTGAAAAAACAAAAGCCATGACATGTTAATAACAGCATCAATGTATAAGTTGACTATTGCATTATTGACACAGGTACAGATGCAAGACCATTATAGTGACTTAACATCAAATATTTTTTTTAAAAATGGACACAAGAGGAGAAAATGACAACATTCTTAGGCTCTGGGTTTCTAAGAATTGAATTACTCCACTACTGAATATGCTATTTATGTGCACATTGAATACTGGTGTATTATTTTAAATATCCTATGCGCAGTGTTCACAATGTTACATAGAATTGCCTTCCTAGATAATTCAACTTCTGTAATTCATGGGGAAGAGCAACAAGTTAGATGAAGAAACTTGGTTCTTGCTCTCTGGAAATTCTCTTCCTTTCTTTTCAGCCTGCAACTCTGCACCAGGTATTATCTTGTATGACATCTGGTATCGAAGCTGTGAAAACTAGAGAATTTGCCTTTGAAAAATAAGCATAAAATGACTGTTTGCATGGATGTCAGTTCAACTGCAACTATTTATGGACAAAAGGGGAAAACAGATTGAATCTAGAATTAATCAGGTTTTATCTATCTGGCTGTTAGCCTGGCCGTGTTCCTTTTACAGCAAACACTTATTTTAGGATTGTGAGGGGAAAAAAGAAATAGACCGAATTATTCAAATTAAAGAAGACACACATTTCACAGTACTTTTCCCCGCACTACATTTTTTCATCTAATCACATCACCTTTATTTCACATCAGTTCAAAACATGCAGTTGTCCACAAAACAGACTAATGTAGGGAGAAATCTCTTTTAAGAAATTGGCCCCTTGGTCTCACCTCACCTTCTTTAGCAAAAGTGTCTGCCGTCTCTGCAGCTTTGTCTTTGATATCCTTGACTACACTGTCCATTTTACTCTCATGCTTTAAGAAGACTGGGCGAATAATTCTGTTATAAAGAAACTCGGCTCCATTTGAGGGACTTGGAGCCATGCACCATATCAGAAAGCCACACTGCATAAAAACAGAAAGTGAGGAAGAAATATAAGGTAAGATACAGCAACCATGGTTTCTAGTGTGGCGCAGAAAGATCCGAAATTCTGATATAAAGAAGGACTGGCTTATCATGGGGCAGTTACAGTAATACAGTGAGATATATTCTCTGGTTTGAATTTAACATGCACCAATAACTTACTACGTAGGTGACCTTAAACAAGTCACTCCAGCTCAGTCTCTCCCTCTCTGTTGGTAACATTTTACAGGGTAGTTATAAAGATCACAACTACTCTATAGCACTGTATAAATGCAACTACTATGGACCACACTTGCAAAACTCCAATGATAGAACAAAAAGGGAAAAACCTGATTGCTTCAGTAAAGAAGCATAATTTCAGCTTCAGATACAGAAATTGTGAGTTTGTAATGATTCCCCTACCTAATCAGTAAGAGTGCTCAGGGCACAGGTGCGGAACATGTGGCGCTCCAGATATTGCTAGACACAGCTTCCAACAAGCTTGATTTATTCAGTAAAGAGATTATGAATGTTGCAGTTCAGCAACATCTGGTGGGCCATCCTTGCGTTAGCCATTGCCCACTTTATATGAATAGTCTCTTACTATTGGCCATGTTGGCTAGGGTTTCTGGAGCTTCAAATCCAAGATATCTGGAGGGCCCATGGTTCCCTGCACTTATAGTAAAAGCAAATGGTACCTGGCTGAAGATAACCCACCCCAACTCCCAAACTGATGTTCCATTTTATGGTAAGAGCTGAAAAGCAAATGGTACCTGGCTGAAGATAAACTGATGTTCCATTTTATGGTAAGAGCTTCCAGGTTTTAACAATGAAACCCATAATGTGACTTGGAAAGCCATCTCTCTCTAGATGGGACTCTGGAAATCCCTCTAGAATGCGCAAGACACTGGAGACAACAGGTATTTTCATAGGAAGTGATAGAATGGAATAAAAGCCAACAAACCTTCATCATGTAGTAGAAAGGGAACCAGGAAAGAAAGATGTCAGAGAAAAATTCTGCTATGCTGAAGATGCCATATACCACCCAGTAGGTCAGCCACTGTGTGTCATCATCTTTATTAGGGCTTTCAATAGCCTTGATGCTGAAAAAGAAATATATGTTATCTTGTCTTATGTATAAAACATACATCCATATTATTATTGTTCTGCTCCAAAAATTATGTACCTAAACTTGACTGCTTTGCTAGAGGTTATGATTACTACAGTTGTGTACATACCCTATTTCCCCTAAAATAAAATAAGCCCTAGTATGATTTTTCAGGATGCTTGTAATGTAAGCCCTACCCCAAAAATAAGCCCCAGTTAAATGAAACCCCACCTTCCACCATTATGCAGCGACCAGAAAATGACATGACTGTATTTGAATAAACGTAGATCGTTGTACATTAAAAAATAAAACATCCCCTGAAAATAAGCCGTAATGTGTATTTTGGAGCAAAAATTAATAAAAGACCCTGTATTATTTTTCAGGGAAACAGGGTAGGTAGAAACGGTTTATATACAATAGATAGCCTACATTGCTTCCATAAGTAACAATTGTAATACCAAGATTTTGTTAAAATCGTCACTAACAAATCTGAATTACTAGGTTATTAATGACAAAAACATCTGTTATCAAAATATTGATATTTAGCCAATTAAATTCAAAGTCTAATGTAATTTAAACCAGTTACATTTAAAGCAACATTGCAGAAACACAATTAGAGATGTTTTCATCTCAAGTGACTTAAAATCAACACACTCACATTTTCAGTCCCTTTAAATACCCCAATGGCCCATGCCATGGAATTTCATTATGACTTACTGATGAACGGAGACAGCAGGGCCAGTCCTACCATTAAGCGGGATGAGGCAAGTGACCACTTTATGCAGCAGCTGTTCCCCTTTGTTGGACAGAGCTCGAGTGCCACATGCTTTGTTCTGGACCGCTAAACTAGCCTGTTATCTCAGGTGTGGTAGTAGACACGATCCTATCACCTATTCCAAAGTACGTTTCAATAGCTAGTCCATCTAGCTGCTGGATGTTGAATGGGGAGGGGGTTCCATCTTGTTCACCTCATATAATTAAATCTTTATGGCCAGCCCTAGTGGACAGCTCATCTCACACCTGTATGATTTTGGCTCCTTGCTTTCTACTGGCCACTTCTCTCAGATGAATTATGTAAGATGCTGAGTCTGACAATCCCTTAAGAACACTTAAGGCCCTCTCACAAAAATGCCTCTCTGAAACATACACCACTCCACATTTTCCCATAAAGCAATGATGCCATCAACAGCAGCAGTAGCAGCTTCTGCAGCTAGAAGCAGCTGGGGCTCTGGCCTCTCATACCAAGTGGAAATGAGCTTACCTTTGCATCTTTCTAACAGCTGCTTACACTGAATGCTGTCAAAGGTAAAGCTTAAAAACTCCTACTGCTGCTTCTTAAACATGAGTAATTATTTATACCAAATGAATCTACTAGGACAAACAATTCTCTTAAAGATGAGACAGCACGTAATTATGCAGCTTGCTAATGTTAACAGAGCAAGGAAGTACTATACAACCTCAATGAAAAAAGAGATCAAGGTGTTACTCAATGCTTACCAACATAGGTGGCTTATGACTGATTGGAATGGTGCTCTCCCTAATGATTCAAATGGGCCATTTATTTATGCTAAAGTAAATTATAGATTACTTTAGCATAAATAAATTGCTAGATTAGGCCCATTTGAATCAGTGAAACTTGTGGAGGAGTTGAGTCACCAAATCTTCACTGATTCAGCCAGTCTCTTCTTGTGTAAGCAACAGGATTTCAGCCACTATGTTTCAGGCTATGATAATACACTCAACTGGGCCAATTCAAACATAGCATGGAATCATAGCACAGCATTATGACCATTCATTCATTCATTCATTCATCATTCATTCATTTTGTATCCCGCTCCTGTTAGTGTCACAGCACTACTCTGAGCAGGTTACAACTTGTAAAACAGAGAACAAAAATAAAAATAAGAAATATTAAAACCAACAGCAACAACCCTAAAAAAAAGACCAGCCAGCACCAACTAATCCCAGAGTGGATGGAGAAAAAGAGGAGGGAAGAAGAGAAGGGGAAAGAAAATGGGGAGGAAGGTGGTGAGCTGGGGTCGGTGTGGAAAGCCTCCCTGAAAAGCAGGGTCTTTAATTGCTTCCTAAATGACTAAACAACAATAAAAAGTCCACAGGGAGGGGGTTAGGCAAAGCTCCTCTGGAAGGGGGTTCCAAAAAGTTAGAGCTACTGCAAAAAAGGCCCTACCTCTTGTAAAGGATTTATGGGCCTCTCTCAGGGTAACCACCTGGAGGAGCCTCAACTGAGATGTTCTTGTGGGCCAGGCAGATGACATTAAGGAAAGACGCTCTGACAAGTAACATGGGCCCAAACCATGGAGGGCTTTGTATGTGAGTGTCAAAACCTTGAACCTGATCTGGGATGCCATGGGCCGCATTATGGACTGGCTGACAACTCTGGATCAGGTTCAAGGGGAGCCCCATGTAGAGAGCATTGCAGTAGTTGATCTGGCAGATGACCAGAGCCTGCACCGAGGTCCTGAAGCAGTCCTCATCTAGGTAGGGGTGAAGTTGGGCGATTAGCCTAAGCTGGTTAAAGGCTGATCTGGACATGGCTGCAAACTGGGACTCCCAAGAAAGAGCTGGGTCCAGAACGACGCCCAAATTACACACACCTGGTTCCTAAACTGGAAGGAAGTACCATCCAGCCTAGGGACCAACCCCCCCATACCTAGCAAAGGTCCTCCCCAGGAGCAAAATCTCCTTCGGGACACCCCTACCCTGTCCCCGCCGCCGGCAGCCACCCCACGCCGCCTACCCCAGCCGTGCTCGGATGCCTGGAAGTCCAAGAACGGGTGGGGTAGGCGGCGCGGGGCAGCTTCAAGCGGCGGCTGCAGGGTGGGGGGGTGTCCCAAAGGCTTCCAGGCCTTTGCCTGGAAGCCTTCGGGGCCCCCCTACCATGC